GAGGCACCATTATTTTCACTGTGTACAAAGAGATTCAATGGGGTGGGACTAGGTCTACATCATGACATGAAACAAGTGGTCTCATGGTATGTCAGCCTTTCTGTTCGCGGAAAGTATTTTTGACCGTACGAATAACACCCATCCTTGATATAGTCCAGGAGGTGGCAGCTGAAAAATTTGAAATCGTAGCCTCCCCAGTACTGATTTTGTTTGACGCTGTTTCAGTTAGTATGATGTCTTGGACTCATGAAAAGGCCTGTAATACTCTCAGATTGCGGTATCAGTTTTTTTACAGGCCATTATATGTGGCGGGGGTCTGCGAGCATTTTCGTCACATTTCGTTTGCTCAAACAAACTCAGTACTGGGGAGGCTACGAAATCCTATTTCTAGGCCCCTTTTGAGATTCTCCTCCTGGACTAATAAGACTACTGATCATACATTGATATACTGATCGACATATTCGTCCCTCTGAATTTTGTCGTTTATGTTCAAGACTCAGTTCCTGGCTGGTGGGAGCATAATCCTAATTCAAGAAGAGTACTTCCAAATTCTAAGTTCTATGCCGCCTTCAATAGTGAATTACTGTTGTTCATCACAGGCCCTCTTGTCTTTGAGAGAATTAAAGATTTTAAAAACATATTCAACATTTGAGATGACCCCCGACTCGAAATGCTCCACATAACAATACATCATAATGTATTGTACTGTGAATCATTTCGAGTCGGGGTCATCTAAATGTATGAGTTTTAATCTTTAATCCTCGCAAAGAGACGAGGGCCTGTGTTACTCATGTGTGGAAAATTACATTGGTTTTACATCAACAAAGCTGTAACACTAACCTTATTATAGTTCAGGAGGTGGCAGCTGAAAAAATTGAAATCATAGCCTCCCCAGTACTGATTTTGTTTGACGCTGTTTCAGTTAGTATGATGTCTTGGGCTCATGAAAAGGCCTGTAATACTCTCAGATTGCGGTATCAATTTTTTTAACAGGCCATTATATGTGGCGGGGGTCCGCTAGCATTTTCGTCACATTTCGTTTGGTCAAACAAAATCAGTATGGGACGGCTACGAAAACCTATTTCTAGGCCCCTTTTGAGATTCTCCTCCTGGACTAATAAGACTACTGATCATACATAGATATACTGATCGACATATTCGTCCCTCTGAATTTTGTCGTTTATTTTCAAGACTCAGTTCCTGGCTGATGGGAGCATAATCCTAATTCAGGAAGAGTACTTCTAAATTCAGCAATTTAGTTCTGACTAACTAAATTCTAATTAAAATGTTAATATTGACTTCGAGCTTTTGGAGATCATTTCTGCAGCATCGCAATGACATCAGTCCATCAAATCACTACCGCATGTTATCTCCACATAAACGTACTCGTAGATCAACAACTGCAAACAGACTGACTTCTTTGTCGTCGTTTATTTCAAGAAGTAAAACTGAGATGTTGTCTAAAAGAATCACACAACGCGTGACTACATGGTATGTCCAGTGCCTATCGTAGTAGGAAATGGGATTCATAGGCAATAAATCTTCATATGTTTATCTTTAAGGAGCTTGTTTGGTGAATCTTTTATGTGTTTGATGCAGTGAGTAGAGTGTTAGTTTGGAAAGGCCTTAAGTTAACTAGGCTTTCTGGTAGTGGTCAAATCCTGATTCGAATGGCCCTATTTGGGCCTGACAGGTATGGAATCTGAACATAAACATGTTTCTGTCAAAGGGTTATCTCACTAGGTGGCAGTTATCACACACTATCATTAATAACGTAAAACTAAATCCTATGGACATACAAGTATGCTGCCTCCAGTTGACATTTGCACACATACAACGTCACTGTAATTAACTGTAGTTTTGTTAACATTAGAATTTGAAGCCGTTTGGTTCTGTTTCCCGAATACCATACTATGCATTTTAGCATGTTAGTAAAAATTCTCATTTTTTAAAATAAAAAGGTTTCCGCTAATGCGATGTACAGAGGCGAACCGAAACAATCAAAGGTGTTCCATGCCACTGCTGGAAGTGAGTAGTTATTATCAAAACATTAAGTATTGTTTTAGAGTGGCTTGCATAACAACCTTTTCGGCCTGAAAACGAAATCAAGTAACAAATTACAGGAATGCACCGTATTGAAGGCAATACATAATATCATTGTGTGGTAATATAACAGAAAATAAGACTACATAAAGTGAAAAAATGAAATAATATTATATGGATCATTTTCAATGCCCAACGTATTATTATTTTTGAACGTTTTCGTTCACAGAACCCCTGAAAAAAGATTCAACGGAAGTATTCATCACCACGGCAACACAAAGTACAGACGCTGCCACCGATACATCCTTTGTCATCTCTTTTCATTCAAAGACGCTTCTCGATGGTACAAATGGGAAAGTAATTGAAGCAGGAATTCTTGTTATGAAGAAGAGTGGTAAGCGAAAAGATCTGTTCAACTCATGTCCTGGAGTGATTCTTGTGTATAAGCTGATCCGCTTCTACATTATGACACCCAGTGGGAAATAGCATAACCTCAGTATAGGGTGTGGGTATTTCTGAATCCATGGAAAGAAAGACATGAACAAGTATTAGCGCTGTGTTACATGAATGACGGAAAGAACGGCGGATCCTTTTTACAATTTTTACGAACACCTGGTGTCGTCACTGAGTTTCAGTCGTCCATTCATATAATTTTCACAGCTATTTGTCCGGAATTTGTTTGTCTGGGTATTTTTTCCACTGACGTTATATTATTAGCTTACATTGTCACAAGATAATAGAAATAGAGAGTTTGTATTTATGTATCACTATTTTGCAGGAATATGTCGTTAGACGAAATCATGGTCGCCCATTGTTTAAAGAACACAGTTTTACAATAACTCCAAACTAAAACTCGTTATGTGCATATAGAAACACCACCAGCGGACCCTGAAAATAGGACGGACTGGGACACATGGAAGAACTGGTATAAGTGGAAGAACAGTGGGTATAAGGGTTCTTACCGCCCAACTCCAGAACACTACCTGCTTCAAGCTAGGAGAAGGAGGAGTGCTTCAGGTAACATGAATTATCACAGTATTCCCTCTTTATGGCTATTTACAAATGATGAGTAAGAACGTTTTATGAACGAAACAGTTACATACTTGGCTCATCGATTTCTGACTTCAGGAGAGAGTTTTACTTCTTACTCGGTGGGTGTTGATGAAAACTGCGACAGTGAAAAAGACCAGTTCTGCAATGGGCCCCTGGAACCAGAGACTGCATATATGTAAGATTCGTTTCTTTCTTTAACACAGGAGTAAACTGAGCATTATGTAAACCGTATACCGTTTTAAGAGTGACTGAATGAGGCCTATTCAAGGACTTTTCTATTTCACGATGCCACTAAAATGAGTTTCACACAATGTTCCTGGGGAATCAAAACGTGTTCGGCGTGATAAGCCAAATACTTTAACCTTTATCTCTAACTCTTTATATTGCATTTTTTTATCAAAGGTTTTAGCGTAGAGATTGCAAAATGACTTCGTTCTTTGTTATCCTGTTCCCTTTGAACTATGAAAAAAATTCTTCAGACCAGGAAAACAAACAGACAACAAACTATTACATGTTTCGGAATAATTTCTGAAAACAAATACATGCAAGCATGTGTGGTGCATGGCAAAATAAGGAACACGGAAATCAGTTCTCATGTTGAGGCAGAAAATTGGAAATGCAATTGACATATCTACAAAACACCATTTCAAAGCATTACATGGGCCTCGAATATTGTAATCTTGACCGAACTTAAGAGCAAGACGCATATATACAGCGATCCTGGAAGTCTTCGTAAGAAGGGCATGCCAAGCTGTACATCAAAAGTAATGAAATGTCGAATCCAAAAGGTTGGGGGTGGAAGAATATTGCCTTACATATATGGAAACTTGTAAATTGATAGTTGAAAAGTGGAAGTCCTTCCTCTCAATTTTCTGCCACTCTGCATTTCTATGCTTGGATCTAAATATAGACCGACGATTTAGGCCTTATGTTGAGTGAGTGAGTGAGTGAGTGAGTGAGTGAGTGAGTGAGTGAGTGAGTGAGTGTGTGAGTGAGCGAGCGAGTTTACGCCACACTCTGCAATATTCCAGCTGTAAGGCGGCCCTTATGTTACAGTTTCCACTTTAATACGCGAAATTCAGAGCATATACACTAACAATCTGCTTTTACAATATATCCTATAAAACAGGTGTGTTTTGCGTGAGTAAGGCTTATGTGTATCTATTCTAGGGTTGTGGCTGTGTCATGTACCACGGCAGGATGTACATCCACTGAACCGTTCGGTATCTTCAAGACAAAACGTACGTTGCTATTCATGTGAAGTAGTAAACTGATGTAATATCAATGTAACATACACTTCCCTACAGATGAATATATGAATCGTTGATATACGTATTTGCATCAACACATAGTCCGTAACATCTGTGTGTTTTGATACCAAGAAATAAACACGGAGTTTAAGTCAACAAGTAAAAAGAATCATTATCTTATTTTAACTCATTTAATCAATTTCACATGTGAAGATCCGGTTAAGAATTGATCTTCAGTAACCCATACTTGTCGTAAGAGGCGACTAACGGGATTGGGTAGTGAGCCTCGCTGACTTGGTTGACACGTCATCGTATCCCATTTGCGTAGAACGATGCTAATGCGGTTGATCAATGGATTGTCTGGTCCAGACTCAATTATTTACAGACCGCCGCCATATAGCTGGAATATTGCCGAGTGAGGCGTAAAACTAAACTCACTCACTCTTACTTTGACAGCGAAATGAACTGTTACAGTTTAAAGCATCCCTATCGATGGCAAAAATGTGTGAATAAGACACCTCAACATATTAAAAATATTCTGACAAAAGAAACTCAGTGAACACCAAAGTTATCCATGGTATACTTATTTGTGAGCACGTCACAGGTCCTACCTCCATTATGTGATATTTCTTTATTCTCATGTTTTACCTGCAGCAACGTCCATTGTCGGCGCTGTAGTTGGGGGAATAGTGGCGGCCGTAGTCGTCATCGGGGTTGTTGTAGGAGTCCTTGTTCTACGTAGACGCCGCAAAAGGTATGCATTGTTTCAATCGTCTTAGATTAAAGCATGTTGATTATACTGATATTACTAATTGATGTTCGGTATGAAACAGATTTGTATGAATAGAACGTCCTGTTTAACACTTTATATATTTGTTTATATCCTCCTTACGCACCGATTTAATAATTGCCCCACTGTATGTCCCTGTCGTATTGCGTTATTTGCTGGATTGTATAAGCAGGCAATGAAGGCAATGGCGTTAACAGAACAGAACGCCAACTGAATCTGCCTAATGGGAAAGAAGTGATAGAAGAAAGAAGGTTTTATAGATCGCACGGATTTGGGACATGATCATACGATCCGGGTACATGGAATAGAAAATAACACTAAACAGCCTTTTCGTTGTAATTCGGGGCATGATCACACGATCCTTGGATAGGAAGGAAATATAACACCAAACAGCCATGTCGTTGTAATTCGGGGCATGATCACACGATCCTTGGATAGGAAGTAAATATAACACTAAATAGCCATGTCGTTGTAATTTGGGGCATGATCACACGATCCTGGGACACGCAATAAATAGAACACTGAACAGAAAAGTCGTTGTAATTCGGGTCATGATCACACGATCCTTGGATAGGAAGTAAATATAACACTAAACAGCCATGTCGTTGTAATTCGGGGCATGATCACACGATACTTGGATAGGAAGTAAATATAACACTAAACAGCCATGTCGTTGTAATTCGGGGCATGATCACACTATCCTTGGATAGGAAGTAAATATAACACTAAACAGCCATGTCGTTGTAATTCGGGGCATGATCACGCGATCCTTGGATAGGAAGTAAATATAACACTAAACAGCCATGACGTTGTAATTCAGGCCATGATAACACGATCCTTGGATAGGAAGTAAATATAACACTAAATAGCCATGTCATGGTAATTTGGGGCATGATCACACGATCATGGGACGCACGCAAGAAATAGAACACTAAACAGAAAAGTCGTTGTAATTCGGGGCATGATCACACGATCCTGGGATAGGAAGTAAATAGAACACTAAACAGCCATGTCGTTGTAAATTCGGGGGCATGATCACACTATCCTTGGATAGGAAGTAAATATAACACTAAACAGCCATGTCGTTGTAATTCCGGGCATGATCACACGATCTTTGGATAGGAAGTAAATATAACACTAAACAGAAAAGTCGTTGTAATTCGGGGCATGATCACACGATCCTGGGATAAGAAGGAAATATAACACTATATAGCCATGTCGTTGTAATTTGGGGCATGATCACACGATCCTTGGATAGGAAGTAAATATAACACTAAATAGCCATGTCGTTGTAATTTGGGGCATGATCACACGATCCAGGGACACGCAAGAAATAGAACACTAAACAGAAAAGTCGTTGTAATTCGGGGCATGATCACACGATCCTGGGATAGGAAGTAAATAGAACACTAAACAGCCATGTCGTTGTAATTCGGGGCATGATCACAGTATCCTTGGATAGGAAGTAAATATAACACTAAACAGCAATGTCGTTGTAATTCGGGGCATGATCACACTATCCTTGGATAGGAAGTAAATATAACACTAAACAGCCATGTCGTTGTAATTCGGGGCATGATCACACGATCCTTGGATAGGAAGTAAATATAACACTAAACAGCCATGACGTTGTAATTCGGGGCATGATAACACGATCCTTGGATAGGAAGTAAATATAACACTAAACAGAAAAGTCGTTGTAATTCGGGGCATGATCACACGATCCTGGGATAGGAAGTGAATATAACACTAAATAGCCATGTCGTTGTAATTCGGGGCATGATCACACGATCCTGGGACACGCAATAAATACAACACTAAACAGAAAAGTCGTTGTAATTCGGGGCATGATCACACGATCCTTGGATAGGAAGTAAATATAACACCGAACAGCCGTGTCGTTGTAATTCGGGGCATGATCACACGATCCTTGGATAGGAAGTAAATATAACACTAAACAGACATGTCGCTGTAATTCGGGGCATGATCACACAATCTTTGGATAGGAAGTAAATATAACACTAAACAGCCACGTCGTTGTAATTCGGGCATGATCACACGATCCTTGGATAGGAAGTAAATATAACACTAAACAACCATGTCGTTGTAATTCGGGGCATGATCACACGATCTTTGGATAGGAAGTAAATATAACACTAAACAGAAAAGTCGTTGTAATTTGGGGCATGATCACCCGATCCTGGGATAGGAAGTAAATATAACACTAAATAGCCATGTCGTTGTAATTCGGGGCATGATCACACGATCCTTGGATAGGAAGTAAATATAACACTAAACAGCAATGTCGTTGTAATTCGGGGCATGATCACACTATCCTTGGATAGGAAGTAAATATAACACTAAACAGCCATGTCGTTGTAATTCGGGGCATGATCACACGATCCTTGGATAGGAAGTAAATATAACACTAAACAGCCATGACGTTGTAATTCGGGGCATGATAACACGATCCTTGGATAGGAAGTAAATATAACACTAAACAGAAAAGTCGTTGTAATTCGGGGCATGATCACACGATCCTGGGATAGGAAGTGAATATAACACTAAATAGCCATGTCGTTGTAATTCGGGGCATGATCACACGATCCTGGGACACGCAATAAATACAACACTAAACAGAAAAGTCGTTGTAATTCGGGGCATGATCACACGATCCTTGGATAGGAAGTAAATATAACACCGAACAGCCGTGTCGTTGTAATTCGGGGCATGATCACACGATCCTTGGATAGGAAGTAAATATAACACTAAACAGACATGTCGCTGTAATTCGGGGCATGATCACACAATCTTTGGATAGGAAGTAAATATAACACTAAACAGCCACGTCGTTGTAATTCGGGGCATGATCACACGATCCTTGGATAGGAAGTAAATATAACACTAAACAACCATGTCGTTGTAATTCGGGGCATGATCACACGATCTTTGGATAGGAAGTAAATATAACACTAAACAGAAAAGTCGTTGTAATTTGGGGCATGATCACCCGATCCTGGGATAGGAAGTAAATATAACACTAAATAGCCATGTCGTTGTAATTCGGGGCATGATCACACGATCCTTGGATAGGAAGTAAATATAACACTAAACAACCATGTCGTTGTAATTCGGGGCATGATCACACGATCTTTGGATAGGAATTAAATATAACACTAAACAGAAAAGTCGTTGTAATTTGGGGCATGATGACACGATCCTTGGATAGGAAGTAAATATAACACTAAACAGCCATGACGTTGTAATTCGGGGCATGATAACACGGTCCTTGGATAGGAAGTAAATATAACACTAAACAGAAAAGTCGTTGTAAATTCGGGGCATGATCACACGATCCTGGGATAGGAAGTGAATATAACACTAAAGAGCCATGTCGTTGTAATTCGGGGCATGATCACGATCCTGGGACACGCAATAAATACAACACTAAACAGAAAAGTCGTTGTAATTCGGGGCATGATCACACGATCCTTGGATAGGAAGGAAATATAACACTAAACAATACCATGTCGTTGTAATTAGGGGCATGATCACACTATCCTTGGATAGGAAGTAAATATAACACTAAACAGCCATGTCGTTGTATTTAGGGGCATGATCACACTATCCTTGGATAGGAACTAAACATAACACTAAACAGCCATGTCGTTGTAATTCGGGGCATGATCACACGATCCTGGGAAACGCAAGAAATAGAACACTAAACAGAAAAGTCGTTGTAATTCGGGGCATGATCACACGATCCTGGGATAAGAAGGAAATATAACACTAAATAGCCATGTCGTTGTAATTTGGGGGCATGATCACGATCCTGGGACACGCAACAAATAGAACACTAAACAGAAAAGTCGTTGTAATTCGGGGGCATGATCACACGATCCTTGGATAGGAAGTAAATATAACACTAAACAGCCATGTCGTTGTAATTCGGGGCATGATCACACGATCCTTGGATAGGAAGTAAATATAACACTAAACAGCCATGTCGTTGTAATTCGGGGCATGATCACACTATCCTTGGATAGGAAGTAAATATAACACTAAACAGCCATGTCGTTGTAATTCGGGGCATGATCACGCACGCGATCCTTGGATAGGAAGTAAATATAACTACTAAACAGCCATGACGTTGTAATTCAGGCCATGATAACACGATCCTTGGATAGGAAGTAAATATAACACTAAATAGCCATGTCATGGTAATTTGGGGCATGATCACACGATCCTGGGACACGCAAGAAATAGAACACTAAACAGAAAAGTCGTTGTAATTCGGGGCATGATCACACGATCCTGGATAGGAAGTAAATAGAACACTAAACAGCCATGTCGTTGTAATTCGGGGCATGATCACACTATCCTGGATAGGAAGTAAATAGAACACTAAACAGCCATGTCGTTGTAATTCCGGGCATGATCACACGATCTTTGGATAGGAAGTAAATATAACACTAAACAGAAAAGTCGTTGTAATTCGGGGCATGATCACACGATCTGGGATAAGAAGGAAATAACACACTATATAGCCATGTCGTTGTAATTTGGGGCATGATCACACGATCCTGGGACACGCAATAAATAGAACACTAAACAGAAAAGTCGTTGTAATTCGGGGCATGATCACACGATCCTTGGATAGGAAGTAAATATAACACTAAACAGCAATGTCGTTGTAATTCGGGCATGATCACACTATCCTTGGATAGGAAGTAAATATAACACTAAACAACCATGTCGTTGTAATTCGGGGCATGATCACACGATCCTTGGATAGGAAGTAAATATAACACCGAACAGCCGTGATCGTTTGTAATTCGGGGCATGATCACACGATCCTTGGATGGAAGTAAATATAACACTAAACAGACATGTCGCTGTAATTCGGGGCATGATCACACAATCTTTGGATAGGAAGTAAATATAACACTAAACAGCCACGTCGT